AATAATAACAATTAATAAATAAAAAAAATACAAAATTAGTAAAATTAATAAATTAATGTATCAAATTAATGAAATAAACTGTAATATTGATATATAATTTAACATGTAAATGAATTAATAACTAAATAAATAATTAAAATCTGGTTATTTGAATATTAAATAAACAAAACAGTTATTAATTAATTATAAATTATATATATTTATTCACATATTATAATATATATATATATATATATATATATATTATATAAATCATTTTATTTTAAATAGGCAGTAATAATTAATTTTAATTGTTGTATTGCTAGCATTGGTATATCATGACTTACACAATGATTGTCCACAAATTTTAATTGACTTTGTTTTCAGTGACAGCAAAGTGCACTTCAGTCTCGTATTAAAGAGATGCCATTGATTGTTCAGTCTCCTGTGCAGCTTCTCCAGTGTGTGTGTGTGTGTGTGTGTGTGTGTGTGTGTGTGTGCAGAGCCTCTTCCTCTAGACGCTGTGGAGATGTCTGATTACGGGCCGTCTCCAGAGACCGCTGTGGTGTTCCAGATGCGTTCCCCGGAGCGGAGCGTCTTCAGCAGAGTGAACATCAGCTTCAGCGAGGGCCGCACGCAGCGCTACATGCTCTATAAAGGTGCGCTTCCTCGCCGCTCTGTCAGCGCTGGGGTCGCCTGGGTCGTCAGCGCTGGGGTCGCCTGGGTCGTCAGCGCTGGGGGTCGCCTGGGTCGTCAGCGCTGGGGTCGCCTGGGTCGTCAGCGCTGGGGGTCGTCAGCGCTGGGGTCGCCTGGGTCGTCAGAGCTGGGGGTCGTCTGGGTCGTCAGCGATGGGGTCGCCTGGGTCGTCAGCGCTGGGGGTCGTCTGGGTCGCCTGGGTCGTCAGCGCTGGGGTCGTCTGGGTCGCCTGGGTCGTCAGAGCTGGGGGTCGTCTGGGTCGTCAGTGCTGGGGGTCGTCTGGGTCGCCTGGGTCGTCAGCGCTGGGGGTCGTCTGGGTCGTCAGCGCTGGGGTCGCCTGGGTCGTCAGCGCTGGGGGTCGTCTGGGTCGTCAGCGCTGGGGTCGCCTGGGTCGTCAGCGCTGGGGGTCGTCTGGGTCGCCTGGGTCGTCAGCGCTGGGGGTCGTCTGGGTCGTCAGTGCTGGGGGTCGTCTGGGTCGCCTGGGTCGTCAGCGCTGGGGGTCGTCTGGGTCGTCAGCGCTGGGGTCGCCTGGGTCGTCAGCGCTGGGGGTCGTCTGGGTCGTCAGCGCTGGGGTCGCCTGGGTCGTCAGCGCTGGGGGTCGTCTGGGTCGCCTGGGTCGTCAGCGCTGGGGTCGCCTGGGTCGTCAGAGCTGGGGGTCGTCTGGGTCGTCAGCGCTGGGGGTCGTCTGGGTCGCCTGGGTCGTCAGCGCTGGGGGTCGCCTGGGTCGCCTGGGTCGTCAGCGCTGGGGGTCGTCTGGGTCGTCAGCGCTGGGGTCGCCTGGGTCGTCAGAGCTGGGGGTCGTCTGGGTCGTCAGCGCTGGGGTCGCCTGTGTCGTCAGCGCTGGGGGTCGTCTGGGTCGTCTGGGTCGTCAGCGCTGGGGTCGCCTGGGTCGCCTGGGTCGTCAGAGCTGGGGGTCGCCTGGGTCGTCAGAGCTGGGGGTCGTCTGGGTCGTCAGCGATGGGGTCGCCTGGGTCGTCAGCGCTGGGGTCGCCTGGGTCGTCAGCGCTGGGGTCGCCTGGATCGTCAGCGCTGGGGTCGCCTGGGTCGTCAGCGCTGGGGGTCGCCTGGGTCGTCAGCGCTGGGGGTCGTCGGCGCCTGGGTCGCCTGGGTCGTCAGAGCTGGGGTCGCCTGGGTCGTCAGCGCTGGGGTCGCCTGGATCGTCAGCGCTGGGGTCGCCTGGGTCGTCAGCGCTGGGGTCGTCAGCGCTGGGGTCGCCTGGGTCGTCAGCGCTGGGGGTCGTCAGCGCTGGGGTCGCCTGGGTCGCCTGGGTCGTCAGAGCTGGGGGTCGTCTGGGTCGTCAGTGATGGGGGTCGTCTGGGTCGTCAGCGCTGGGGGTCGCCTGGGTCGTCAGCGCTGGGGGTCGCCTGGGTCGCCTGGGTCGTCAGAGCTGGGGGTCGTCTGGGTCGTCAGCGCTGGGGGTCGCCTGGGTCGTCAGCGCTGGGGGTCGTCTGGGTCGTCAGCGCTGGGGGTCGCCTGGGTCGCCTGGGTCGTCAGTGCTTGGGGTCGCCTGGGTCGTCAGTGCTGGGGGTCGCCTGGGTTGTCTGGGTCGACAGCGCTGGGGGTCGCCTGGGTCGTCAGTGCTGGGGGTCGTCTGGGTTGTCTGGGTCGACAGCGCTGGGGGTCGTCTGGGTTGTCTGGGTCGTCAGTGCTTGGGGTCGCCTGGGTCGTCAGTGCTGGGGGTCGCCTGGGTTGTCTGGGTCGACAGCGCTGGGGGTCGCCTGGGTCGTCAGTGCTGGGGGTCGCCTGGGTTGTCTGGGTCGACAGCGCTGGGGGTCGTCTGGGTCGCCTGGGTCATCAGCGCATTACATTAGTGATACACACACACACCTGTGAGCGCATTACATTAGTGTTACACACACACACACACACACACACCTGTGACCACATTACATTAGTGTTACACACACACACACACACACACACACCTGTGAGCACACTACATTAGTGTTACACACACACACACACACCTGTGACCGCATTACATTAGTGTTACACACACACACACACACACACACCTGTGACCGCATTACATTAGTGTTACACACACCGTTTTATAAAGTAACCGTTTTATAAAAGCAATAAGCGCCTTGAAGCCGTGTTTTACAGTGAGTTTAGAACAGCTGAGGGGGTTTATATTTATATATAAATATATACATTATATATATATATATATAATAGATTATAGAAGGTATATTTTAAAACGGTACCGGTGCCTGAACCGATACTTTAAAAAAAGAGCCTCACAGTGATGGTGAATGATATTAAAGAACGGCTTTTTTATTGAAAATTTTGTATGCCCTTTTCACAAGATGTAGAATAAGTCTGATGTCCCCAGAGTGTGTGTGTGTGTGTGCGCAGTTTCAGCTCAAAATACCCCACAGATATTTTTATATAGCATGTTAAAATTGTCACTTTTTGAGGGTGAGCAAAAACGCGCCGTTTTTGTGTGTGTGTGTCCCTTTAAATGCAAATGAGCCGCTGCTCCCGGCACAGGGGGCGGAGCTTCAAGAGCTCGTGTCCTTTTACCTCACACACTCACTTATGTTCAAATCAAGATGGAGAGACTCAAGAAGAAGTGACAACATTTCTGAATGTTAGTTGATGAGTTTATGCAGCTGATGTGGAGTTAACTCTCTTCTAGTCAGTGATTAGCATATTCTGTCATGATAATCTATAAATCGTGTTCTCGGGGGCGGGGTTTATGTACATTTTAGGGTTTATGATGTCGCTAAGCCGTGAAGAAGCTCGTGTAGTTCTACCAGCCGTTTGTTGTAGTCCTTAAAAAGCGATTTCTGTAAGAGTAAATCTCTCCGTTTGCTCTGAGCGTTGAGTGTGTAACTGTGCAGATGTTGTTTACGCTCAAACAGCAACACTACACACTAACTACAGTCGGAACTAAACAACTAAATCATAATCAACCGCCCCGTTAAAAGGATCGATTTAAAAGACCCAGATGACGCCCGACCCTACTCTTCATCTCTCTCTCTCTCTCTGTGTGTGTGTGTGTGTGTGTGCAGATTTCCACAGAGGGAGGACGGTGTTCAAGCACTGGCTGTCGGGTGTGTGTTACAGCAACATCTCCTTCCAGCTGATCTCCGAGGCCACGGTCAACAAGAGCTCGATGATCAGCCGGAGCCCGGTCCTGCTCGCGCCCCGACCGCACCGCACCGGTACCACATCCTCCTCATCATCATCATCTTCATCACTCGCTCATTCTGCTGTCTGTGAACGCACGCTCTGACACAGTTATAGCACCCTCATGACAGCCAATGTCAACACCAACCACATGACAGTTTAATGTAATGATAACCCATAAAGCTAAGTGGTAATTAATCCGCTATGTCATGTTTATGACAAGTTGTGTTGTCTTAGTAATGTCAAGTTGTCATGACAAAGACATCTCAAACAATGTCATATTTGCATTAAAAATGTCATAATTGAGCGAATGACACTTAATGACAGTAGTCATAAACATGCATAACCCTACTTCACATGTGTCATGTCATGGTTATGAAGGTGTCGTGTCAGTCTTATGCACACCCCTTCAAGTAAAGTGTTATCATTTCTTCTTCTTTTTTCCGGCTAGTTCTGAATGGCCGGTAACTTAAACATGTGGTAGCCAAACTGGCCGGTGTGTGAAAGTTAATTTCAAACCCTGATCATCATCATCATCATCATCACCACATGACCTTTAATTAGCGCTGGAGTCTCTGAACGAGGTCATGAGCTGTTAATTATTGATGGAAACTCTCCGGATTCACAGCAAGACGCTGATTATCCAAACCCGTGGCGAGGCTAATGAGCGAGGGAATGCCCTGTTTATGATCATTCAGGGTTATTTTAAGTCATTAACTCGTTATTAGCCACAAACTCTCAGTACTGCAATTAGAAAAACTAGACTAATGATTTTATTTACAATAATATTTTATATCATGGTAACATTTCTCAAACTGCCTTTTGATTTAAGCTGATTTTAATAAATAAATACATTATTTAAATAAATTAGTCACTGTTGAAAATAATGCGAATTATGAAACTCTCAAACTAAAATGTGCTCAGTTGTCATTCAAAATAATATGAAATGAACAAATATATAATAATTAATAATAATATTAATAATTAATAAAATGTCTTCTCAAATTGTGTTCTTGAAAATAATTTAATTTGATTAGTATTTATTTAAATTAATATTTAATTTTTTAATTTTTAATTTTTTAGATTTTGTATACTACTTTCAGTTTAATCTAACTATATTAAAAACTAAAATTATACATTGAATAAATAAATTTTGAAATTACCTTTGGAAAAAAAAGGGGCTTAAAAATGTTGTCATATTCAAAATATGTATTTGAAATATAATCATTCTTCGATAATTAAAAATAATTACACTTTTTATTAATTTAAATACATTTTATATTCTATATACTACCGTTAATCTGATTTTAATTTTAAAAAATCAGTGCTTAAGAAAACATTGAAAATATGTATTTTACATATAATTTTACAGTTTTTCCTCAATTACTGTTTAATTTGATCGTTGTAATCCGTGATAAATGCTGTTTTCTGTCTGCAGTCCCAAACCCTCCTCTCAACGTGTCCCTCAAGATCCTCCAGCTCAGCGGATCTGACCCGCACGGGGGCGTTCTGAAGGCGTCCCACAATGCATCACTCCTCCGCAGGACACGTGACGTCCCTTCAACCGAAGAACAGGAGGGGGCGGATCCTGACGAGGTGGGCGTCACCCAAACGCCCCTGAACGAGTCCGTAACCGACGGCGACAGCAGCACAACCGAACCCACACATGACAACAGCACAGAGCCTCTGTGGGCGGAGCCTATGGGAAGCCCCGCCCCCACGGAGGAGGAGGAGTTTGTCAACGCAGTGCTTCCAGAATACGAAGACTCAAACGAGCCGGGTTCAGCCATGGATGTGAACTTTGACCCCAGAGTGAGGCTGGATGTGACCTTTGACCCCAGAGTGAGGCCCAATCCGCTGTCGGTCCTGCTGGAGCTGCGCTGGTCTCCGCCGACGACACACACCTCGTTCGACGGGTTTAACGTCTACATCTACCGCGACGGTGAGAATAATAGATAGATTGATAGATTGATAGATTGACGGATAGATGACACGCGTCTGTTGTGTGAATGCCCCGATCAGGAAACTCCACTGAAACGGCCACGGTGGATGAAAACACACACGAGTTCTTCAGCGAACTGTCGGAGCCGGGAACGTATCGGGTTCTCGTCACCACACTCAGCTCGAGCGGAGACTGTGAGGCCCGGGAGAGTTCTGCCGACACCGCGGTCACCTTCTACCTCAGTATGACCCCACACACACACACACACACACACACAGAGACAGGCACACAAACACACACAAGCATTCACACACACACACACACACACACACACAGCCATACAGCTTACAGAGGGTGCAGAGGTGACGAGTTTGTGTGTGTGTGTGTTTGTTTGTGCGTGCGTGTTTGTGTGCTGTCTCTGTCTGTGTGTGCGTGTTTGTGTGTGTGTCTGTGCACGCGTGTGTGTGCCTATCTCTCTGTCTCTGTGTGTGTGTGTGCGTCCGTGTGTGTGCGTGCGTCTGCATGTGCGTGTGTGTGCGTGTGCCTGTCTCTCTGTCTCGGTCTCTGTGTGTGCGTACGTCTACATGTGTGCGCGTGCGTGTGTGTGTGTGCAGGTCCGCGGGGCGAGTGGATGGAGCAGCCTCAGGAGTGTCCTCAGGCGGTGAGTGTGAAGATGTTGGACTCGAGCACGGCTAGCGTCTCCTGGGCTCCGGCGACTCACAGGTACAACGGGAGCCTGATCTCAGTGCTGTCGCTCACCTGTCTGAGGCCCAGCATCAGCCAGCGCATGGAGAACACCTACTGCTCACAGGTGACGCCCGCACTGCTTACTCAAGGATATAGTGTGCAGGCTGTACATAGTGTGCTCATTTATTTAAGTATATAGTGTGCAGGCTGTACATACTGTGCTCATTTATTTAAGTATATAGTGTGCAGGCTGTACATACTGTGCTCATTTATTTAAGTAAATAGTGTGCATGCTGTACATAGTGTGCTCATTTATTTAAGTATATAGTGTGCATGCTGTACATAGTGTGCTCATTTATTTAAGTATATAGTGTGCATGCTGTACATATTGTGCTCATTTATTTAAGTATATAGTGTGCATGCTGTACATATTGTGCTCATTTATTTAAGTATATAGTGTGCAGGCTGTACATAGTGTGCTCATTTATTTAAGTATATAGTGTGCATGCTGTACATATTGTGCTCATTTATTTAAGTATATAGTGTGCTCATTTATTTAAGTATATAGTGTGCATGCTGTACATATTGTGCTAATTTATTTAAGTATATAGTGTGCTCATTTATTTAAGTATATAGTGTGCAGGCTGTACATAGTGTGCTCATTCATTTAAGTATATAGTGTGCATGCTGTACATATTGTGCTCATTTATTTAAGTATATAGTGTGCAGGCTGTACATACTGTGCTCATTTATTTAAGTATATAGTGTGCAGGCTGTACATACTGTGCTCATTTAAGTATATAGTGTGCATGCTGTACATATTTTGCTCATTTATTTAAGTATATAGTGTGCATGCTGTACATAGTGTGCTCATTTATTTAAGTATATAGTGTGCATGCTGTACATAGTGTGCTCATTTATTTAAGTATATAGTGTGCATGCTGTACATATTGTGCTCATTTATTTAAGTATATAGTGTACATGCTGTACATAGTGTGCTCATTTATTTAAGTATATAGTGTGCATGCTGTACATATTGTGCTCATTTATTTAAGTATATAGTGTGCAGGCTGTACATAGTGTGCTCATTTATTTAAGTATATAGTGTACATGCTGTACATAGTGTGCTCATTTATTTAAGTATATAGTGTGCATGCTGTACATATTGTGCTCATTTAAGTATATAGTGTGCATGCTGTACATAGTGTGCTCATTTAAGTATATAGTGTGCATGCTGTACATATTGTGCTCATTTAAGTATATAGTGTGCATGCTGTACATAGTGTGCTCATTTATTTAAGTATATAGTGTGCAGGCTGTACATAGTGTGTTCATTTATTTAAGTATATAGTGTGCATGCTGTACATATTGTGCTCATTTATTTAAGTATATAGTGTGCATGCTGTACATAGTGTGCTCATTTATTTAAGTATATAGTGTGCATGCTGTACATATTGTGCTCATTTATTTAAGTATATAGTGTGCAGGCTGTACATAGTGTGCTCATTTATTTAAGTATATAGTGTGCATGCTGTACATAGTGTGCTTATTTATTTAAGTATATAGTGTGCAGGCTGTACATAGTGTGCTTATTTATTTAAGTATATAGTGTGCAGGCTGTACATAGTGTGCTCATTTATTTAAGTATATAGTGTGCATGCTGTACATAGTGTGCTTATTTATTTAAGTATATAGTGTGCAGGCTGTACATAGTGTGCTTATTTATTTAAGTATATAGTGTGCAGGCTGTACATACTGTGCTCATTTATTTAAGTATATAGTGTGCAGGCTGTACATACTGTGCTCGTTTAAGTATATAGTGTGCATGCTGTACATATTGTGCTCATTTATTTAAGTTTATAGTGTGCATGCTGTACATAGTGTGCTCATTTATTTAAGTATATAGTGTGCATGCTGTACATAGTGTGCTCATTTATTTAAGTATATAGTGTGCATGCTGTACATATTGTGCTCATTTATTTAAGTATATAGTGTACATGCTGTACATAGTGTGCTTATTTATTTAAGTATATAGTGTGCATGCTGTACATATTGTGCTCATTTATTTAAGTATATAGTGTGCATGCTGTACATATTGTGCTCATTTAAGTATATAGTGTGCATGCTGTACATATTGTGCTCATTTATTTAAGTATATAGTGTGCAGGCTGTACATAGTGTGCTCATTTATTTAAGTATATAGTGTGCATGCTGTACATAGTGTGCTCATTTATTTAAGTATATAGTGTGCATGCTGTACATAGTGTGCTCATTTATTTAAGTATATAGTGTGCATGCTGTACATATTGTGCTCATTTATTTAAGTATATAGCGTGCATGCTGTACATAGTGTGCTCATTTATTTAAGTATATAGTGTGCATGCTGTACATATTGTGCTCATTTATTTAAGTATATAGTGTGCATGCTGTACATATTGTGCTCATTTATTTAAGTATATAGTGTGCATGCTGTACATATTCTTGCTCATTTATTTAAGTATATAGTGTGCATGCTGTACATAGTGTGCTCATTTATTTAAGTATATAGTGTGCATGCTGTACATAGTGTGCTTATTTATTTAAGTATATAGTGTGCATGCTGTACATATTGTGCTCATTTATTTAAGTATATAGTGTGCATGCTGTACATATTGTGCTCATTTAAGTATATAGTGTGCATGCTGTACATATTGTGCTCATTTATTTAAGTATATAGTGTGCATGCTGTACATAGTGTGCTCATTTATTTAAGTATATAGTGTGCATGCTGTACATAGTGTGCTCATTTATTTAAGTATATAGTGTGCATGCTGTACATAGTGTGCTCATTTATTTAAGTATATAGTGTGCATGCTGTACATATTGTGCTCATTTATTTAAGTATATAGCGTGCATGCTGTACATAGTGTGCTCATTTATTTAAGTATATAGTGTGCATGCTGTACATAGTGTGCTCATTTATTTAAGTATATAGTGTGCATGCTGTACATATTGTGCTCATTTATTTAAGTATATAGTGTGCTCATTTATTTAAGTATATAGTGTGCATGCTGTACATATTGTGCTCATTTATTTAAGTATATAGTGTGCATGCTGTACATATTGTGCTCATTTATTTAAGTATATAGTGTGCAGGCTGTACATAGTGTGCTCATTTATTTAAGTATATAGTGTGCATGCTGTACATAGTGTGCTCATTTATTTAAGTATATAGTGTACATGCAGTATATAGTGTGCATGTTGTACATAGTGTGCTCATTTATTTAAGTATATAGTGTGCATGCTGTACATAGTGTGCATATTTATTTAAGTATATAGTGTACATGCAGTATATAGTGTGCATGTTGTACATAGTGTGCTCATTTTTTCATAGTGTGCTCAGTTTAGCAGTGTATAGTGTGCATGCTGTACAAGCTTGATTTTTAACCAGATACAACAATCAATACAAATGTTATCAACAGCAACCAAAGCTGCATCTGTTTATGTTTATTTATTATTTATTTATATTTACACGACAAATGCATATCGTGAATTAGGACTGCATGATTTGGGGAAAAATCTAATTGCCAGAGCAGAAGTAAACATGTGACCTGCTCCCCTGTCTCTCATAGGAGAATCTCACCAGTGACATCATCAGCAGCCTGACTCCAGGCGCTCAGTACAGAGTGGTGGTTTATCACACTAACGGGCCGCTCGTTAGTCCCGCCTCTGAACCCGTCATCATTGACATAGGTTAGTAACTGTTCTGCTCGGTTTGGTTTAAGTATATAGTGTGCATGCTTTACATAGTGTGCTCATTTTTGCAGTATATAGTGTGCATGCTTTACATAGTGTGCTCATTTTTGCAGTATATAGTGTACATGTTGTACATAGTGTGCTCATTTTTGCAGTATATAGTGTACATGTTGCACATAGTGTGCTAATTTTTTGCTGTATATAGTGTGCATGCTTTACATAGTGTGCTCATTTTTGCAGTATATAGTGTGCATGCTTTACATAGTGTGCTAGTTTTTTCATAGTGTGCTAATTTTTTGCAGTATATAGTGTGCTCATTTTTGCAGTATATAGTGTGCATGTTGTACATAGTGTGGTCATTTTTGCAGTATATAGTGTGCATGCTTTACATAGTGTGATCATTTTTGCAGTATATAGTGTGCATACTTTACATAGTGTGCTCATTTTGCAGTATATAGTGTGCATGCTTTACATAGTGTGCTAGTTTTTTCATAGTGTGCTAATTTTTTGCAGTATATAGTGTGCTCATTTTTGCAGTATATAGTGTGCATGCTTTACATAGTGTGCTCATTTATTTGCAGTATATAGTGTGCATGCTTTACATAGTGTGATCATTTATTTGCAGTATATAGTGTGCATGCTTTACATAGTGTGCTAGTTTTTTCCTAGTGTGCTAATTTTTTTGCAGTATATAGTGTGCATGTTGTACATAGTGTGCTCATTTTTGCAGTATATAGTGTGCATGCTTTACATAGTGTGCTAGTTTTTTCCTAGTGTGCTAATTTTTTTGCAGTATATAGTGTGCATGTTGTACATAGTGTGCTCATTTATTTGCAGTATATAGTGTGCATGCTTTACATAGTGTGCTAGTTTTTTCATAGTGTGCTAATTTTTTGCAGTATATAGTTAGGCCTGTCACGATAACAAATTTTGCTGGACGATAAATTGTCCAAGAAATTATTGCGATAAACGATAATATTGTCGTTCCGAGACCATTTACATCTAAAATAACGATAATGGCATAATAATGCAGGTACACCTTTTCAAAGATCAATAAACTTTTATTTCTAAAGACTATTTAACACTGAAAATGTAAAACATTTTAAATATCCACAATAAATGAACAAAACAACCAAAAACAATAAAAGCAATGTCTCTGCTAACAAAAAATGCACTTGAATAAATACCAAAAACAATAAATAAAATGGATGTAAACAAAACCCGACCCTACCCTAAATGATTTCTTATTAAAGCATTAACACACAAACCAGTGTTAATTTAACATAAAAGCAAGCAGCTACTGCGTGCATGGTTTGGCATGAATGAATGTGCGCAAAGTGCGCTCGCTTAATAATTCCTAAAAAGCAGACAGTTCATCGCGATCTCACACATCTCTGTTATTATCAATGAAGCTGACTGCACAATGAATCTTTCATAATATCCACACTTTGTTTGTTATAATTCGAGGATTTGCCAGCATACAGAATTCAGCACTGAACAAAAACGTCAGTTTTGAGCGGTGAGGGGAGTCTATCTTAAATGCTTCTGATTGGCCATTGCGTTCAAGAAGTCAACACATATGTCTGTGATTGGCTACATCGCTCATCGCTGCAAACATGTTATGAATAGAAACTCTGGCCTGTAAATCGTTTTGTTTTAGTTGTTCTTGTTGCTTTTCTGCAACAAATGAATAAAAATCTATTCGTTTATATATGTTTTATTCATAGATATTTCTAGTTTGCGGGAGTCCCGCGAATCGTTTTATTCTCCCGCAGCCCGCACACACAGAGTGAGTGCATTACCGCCCGCGCCCTCTCTATTGCGTTGGGAGTGCACGTCTCTAGATCAAGGGCCCGGCCCGAAGAGAGTGTCGGGCCGGGTCGGGTCAAGTTCGGGCTCGGGCAGAGAATCTAAGCTCTAGTTCATGCTAAGGAACCGAGAGTTGTCATCCAGTCTCTTTGGTAGAGAGAGAGAGAGAGAGAGAGAGAGAGAGAGAGAGAGAGAGAGAGAGAAAGAGACGAGGAAAACAAACAAGCATGCAAATGGAAATTATCGCGTCCGTAAAAATTATCGAGCTTATTTTTTTTATCGTGCGATTAATTGATTTATCGACTATCGCGACAGGCCTATATATAGTGTGCATGCTGTACATAGTGTGCATGTTGTACATAGTGTGCTCATTTATTTGCAGTATATAGTGTGCATGCTGTACATAGTGTGCTCATTTATTTGCAGTATATAGTGTGCATGCTTTACATAGTGTGCATGTTGTACATAGTGTGCTCATTTATTTGCAGTATATAGTGTGCATGCTTTACATAGTGTGCATGTTGTACATAGTGTGCTCATTTATTTGCAGTATATAGTGTGCATGCTTTACATAGTGTAATAATTTATTTTCAGTATATAGTGTGCATGTTGTACATAGTGTGCTCATTTATTTGCAGTATATAGTGTGCATGCTTTACATAGTGTGCATGTTGTACATAGTGTGCTCATTTATTTGCAGTATATAGTGTGCATGCTTTACATAGTGTAATAATTTATTTGCAGTATATAGTGTGCATGCTTTACATAGTGTGCTCATTTATTTTCAGTATATAGTGTGCATGCTTTACATAGTGTGCTCATTTATTTTCAGTATATAGTGTGCAGGCTGTACATAGTGTGCTCATTTATTTTCAGTATATAGTGTGCATGCTTTACATAGTGTGCTCATTTATTTTCAGTATATAGTGTGCATGCTGTACATATTGTGCTCATTTATTTTCAGTATATAGTGTGCATGCTTTACATAGTGTGCATGTTGTACATAGTGTGCTCATTTATTTGCAGTATATAGTGTGCATGCTTTACATAGTGTAATAATTTATTTTCAGTATATAGTGTACATGTTGTACATAGTGTGCTCATTTATTTGGAGTATGTAGTATGTGTTGACATGCAGTGCTCATATTTCAGAAAACCATTGTAATAATAGTTAACACAGATTGGCCCATCAGGTTGAGTTTCCCTCTGGTGTAAGATCAGGAAGCTCCGCCTCCTGTGACTCATCTGTGCTCTGTGATTGGTTGATCCTCTGTCAGAGCCGACGGGTGTTCGTGATCTGGTGGTGTATCCTCTCAGTCCCAGCGCCGTGATCCTCAGCTGGCAGCGCCCGTATAACGTGGCCTTCCGCAAGTACGTGCTTCAGACGTTCTTCTTCAACTCGGCCACGCAGACGTCCCAGTGGACGACCTACTACGAGATCGCCGCCACCGCCTCCGTCATCGCCTCTGTGGTAAACTCCAAAACACCACACTTTTGATTTACCTGATTTATTTTGAGATTGTATGAGTTTGTTCTGCGCTAGGGCTGTCAAAATGTCTGTTAAATATTAGCATAATTCTAATTTTTATTTGACAGCCCTAATGTACGCACAGTTTTAGTTTTATATGTGCAGGTCTTAAAAAGGTCTTTAATTTAATAAAGAAAAACCCTGCAGGCATGATCGTTCTGCCTTTATTCAGGGTTTTGAGTCAATAATGACAGAAGTCTCGTTCCTGTAATCAGTCAATTAACCAGTAGAGATGTGTAATTATGATGCATACTGAGTCACGGCCGAGATGTGAGAAATTATTATAATCATATTTAATGACACGCCACAGCGCCTCTCGCTCATAACGAGACTGAGGATGAACACATGGTTCCGACGAGGTCAGAGTCTCTAATTACATCAGCATGAGATCCTGCAAAGGTCAGACACTGGGATATCAGACAGACTCGCAGGAGACTCACAATTATTCCAGCAACAACACCAGACACGGCCACATCAATCAGAAGTCACAGCCAATCAGAAGAGAGTGTGGGCGGAGCCTCTCTGCAAGCGCACTGCACTCGCAACCTAATCAACCACAGATCACAGCCAATCAGAAGACAGTGTGGGCGGAGCCTCTCTGCAAGCGCACTGCACTCGCAACCTAATCAACCACAGATCACAGCCAATCAGAAGACAGTGTGGGCGGAGCCTCTCTGCAAGCGCACTGCACTCGCAACCTAATCAACCACAGATCACAGCCAATCAGAAGACAGTGTGGGCGGAGCCTCTCTGCAAGCGCACTGCACTCGCAACCTAAACAACCACAGATCACAGCCAATCAGAAGACAGTGAGGGCGGAGCCTCTCTGCAAGCGCACTGCACTCGCAACCTAAACAACCACAGATCACAGCCAATCAGAAGACAGTGTGGGTGGAGCCTCTCTGCAAGCGCACTGCACTCACAACCTAAACAACCACAGATCACAGCCAATCAGAAGACAGTGAGGGCGGAGTCTCTCTGCAAGCGCACTGCACTCGCAATTTAATCAACCACAGATCACAGCCAATCAGAAGAGAGTGTGGGCGGAGTCTCTCTGCAAGCGCACTGCACCCGTAACCTAATCAATCATTCTAATTTTAGTTAAAGTTTTAGTCATTTTTTGTGTGTGTTTTTGTCTTTTGTTTTTCAGTATATCTATATAGTTTTTATGAAGTTTTAGTTTATTTAGTTGTAGTTGTTGTCCTGGTAACTAGCTGAAATAAATTAAATGTAAAAAATTTTTTACAGCTAATGTTTGTATTTCTATTAATTGCATTTTTTTTATGGTTTTAGCTTCAGTTTTAGATACCAATGTCTACCATGGTAATAGAATACACTTATTTCGTTCTTATGCCCTTTCATTTAATTTCAGGATCTGAGGTGAATTGTCCATTGTCACAGTGGGTGGAGCTTGACGGTCCAACCCCGCCTCTATTGGCATAGTGGGTGGGGCTTGAAGGTCCAGCTCCCCCTCTCTGGACATAGTGGGTGGAGCTTGAAGGTCCAGCCCCACCTCTATGGTCATAGTGGGTGGAGCTTGATGTCCAGGTCCAGCCACACCCTAACCTTACTCTATCCCATAGGTCGGCAACCCGCGGCTCTAGAGCCGCATGCGGCTCTTGAGCGCCGCCCTAGTGGCTCCCTGGAGCTTTTTCAAAAATTTGAAAATGGAAAAAATATTTTTTGTTTTAATATAATTTCTGTAGGAGGAAAAACATTACAAATATTCTTAAAGTTTGTCAACGTTGTAAAAATGTGTATAATAAATATTTAATTTCAACATTTCTGTCAACGAAGAATTTACTTCATAGACTGTGACACACGTGTCTGTCAGATCGGCGTGATGCCAGACCGGTGGCTGACAAACAAACAAACAAACCGGCGGGTGTGTCATGGGCCATGGATCCCAAGGGGGAAAAGAGAAAGAGCTGAGCACTCCCAACGCACTCTAGTGCGGCGCGGGACTAGATTTGATGGCCGAGTGCGAGCGCGGGCGCGTGCGGTAATGCACTCACTCTACTAAAACAAAATAGAAACGATTTACAGGCCAGAATTTCTATTCATAACGTATTTGCAGCGTTGAGCGATATAGCCAATCACAGACATATGTGTTGATTTCTTGAACGCAATGGCCAATCAGAAGCATTTAAGATAGACTCCCCTCACCGCTCAAAACTGACGTTTTTGTTCAGTGCTGAATTCTGTATGCTGGCAAATCCTCGAATTATAACAAACAAAGTGTGGATATTATGAAAGATTCATTGTGCAGTCAGCTTCATTGATAATAACAGAGATGTGTGAGATCGCGATGAACTGTCAGCTTTTTTGGAATTATTAAGAGAGCGCACTTTGCGCGCATTCAGTCATGGCAATGCACGCAGTAAACTGCTTGCTTTTATGTTAAATTAACAGTGGTTTGTGTTTTAATGTTTTAATAACAAATAATTTATCAGGAGGATGTATGGTGGCGACACGTAGGCTAACTTGAAAGTATTTGGAGGTACAGAAAAAAGTCTATTTGCGGGCGGGAGCGGGACAAAACATAAATGTTGCGGGCGCGAGGGAAAGAAAGTTGAGAACGTCAGTTATAATGACCCACGCATTAAAAAATGGTCGTGTTAAAATCGGGCTCGGGCTCATAATTACGTTAAATGTGTCGGGCCGGGCTTGATTTTTTGGGCCTGATCTAAGCTCTAAGTTGTAGCCTACTTATCATTTTGATACTAATAAAGCTAATATAACACTTACAGCATGTGTTGCCTTCATTATAAGGCTTATATAAAGCTTTTAATTTTTTGCGGCTCCAGACAGATTTTTTTTTTTTTTTTTGGGTCCAATATGGCTCTTTCAACATTTTGGGTTGCCGACCCCTGCTCTATCCCTAAACATAATTAGGCCAAGCTCCACCCATTGGGTCCGGAGAGGAGGAGCTAGACATCATTTGGCTCTGCAGTGAGCACCACTTGCTTTTATCAAGTGTCATCATCATTTTCTCATTTCATGAACATATTCTCTCGTCTCCCACAGAGAGTGACGGATCTGCTGCCGGCCTGGTATTACAACTTCCGTGTGACGATGGTGACGTGGGGCGACCCGCCTCTGAGCTGCTGCGACGGCTCCACCGTGAGCTTCGTTACAGGTGCGCTGCTCACATCACCCTAGTGTTGTCAAAAGTTACGACTTCGGTACTGACATTTTAAAAATGTGACGTTTTGAGCACTGTTGAGCGGAACCGTAAACATCTCTGATTCAGTTCACGATTATTTGTATAGCGCTTTTCACAATACACATCATTTCAAAGCAGCTTTACAGAAAGTGCACGAGTCCACATTACAGTTTACAGTGATCTGTCATCAGAAGAGACTGTCTGAGTTATGCATTTCAGAAGTTTGATTGGCCATTGTGTTCACGAGCTCATCGGATATGTCTGTGATTGGCTGCAATGATCAGCGCTTCACAAACATGGTGTAAATATACATCAATGATGCCCTTCAGCGAGCGCTTGCACACACACACACACACACACACACAAACACAACACACACGCGAGCGCTTCAAAGCAGGACCGGTCCGCTGATAGGTCACATTTATTTATACAGCGCTTTTTACAGCACAGAGTGTTTCAGAGCAGCTTTACAGAGATAACAGGAAAACAATGCAACAAAGTGTGTTTCCAGAAGAGAATAGCGTCACAGTCCAGCTTAAGTAAGTTCAGTGACGGCTCATTTCTGTTGTAAAAAAGTTTAATTTAGTTCATATATATATATATATATATAGCCACTCTGGAGTAAACAGTGATGTCATCGTCCAGCTCAGTTCAGTTCTCATATAATGCTGTCAGTGCAGGAGATCAATAATATTGTTAAATATTAAATTAAATGTTACATTTCATGTCCCCAAATAAGCAAGCCAAAAGCCAATGGCAACAAAGGTGGAAAAGGCGACAGAAGTTAGTTAGTTAGTTAGTTAGTTAGTATACCTGTCCTTTTTCAGGAAATTTGTCTTGGACTCAAAGCTGCAGTAGCACACAACATTCACACACACACAACCAGAAAAAAATATTAATAACAATGACTACATCTTGCTATTTAATATATTAATAGATACAGGAATAAATGTTTTTGTGCTTGAATCACTCACTATTGTCTGTGCATTCTTAAAAACCAGCGATTCATACATTGATTGAAGTGATGTGTACTCTCTTGAAGGAAGAGCATTTTCAAACACTTCCGTGCGCTGATCATTGTAGCCAATCACAGACATGTTTGATGAGCGCGTGAACACAACGGCCAATCAGAGGTGTTTATGACTCCGCTCAAAGCCTCACATTTATTAAAATTTCAGTACCGAAGTCGCTAGATCACTAGATCACCTGTCAGTAGAAATAAAGCTTCGCAAGAACCTTTAACATCTATGGATCCTTTGCATTGCACAAAAGTTTATTTATAGAAGAAAAAGGCACTAAAACATTCTTTAAAACTCAATTCTGCTTTTCTCCATCTGTCTTTAGTGTGTGATGTTGCTGTTTGAGCATATAAAAGCTCCAGTTCTCCTCTATATTAGTGTCAGTGTTCCTGAACTCCTGAAACGCCTCCATTAGTCTTGAGTTTCTCCCGGGAACGAACACGTCACAATATTCCTCATTATAATAATTCATGCGCAGAATAAAGGGGCGGGGCCTGGTTGAGTTAGTTAGTAGTGTGTTAAACTGGCGGTTATGGAAAGGGGCGGGACATTTCCCAAACACACTCGAAGCTTTCGACCAATCACAACACACTGCTCCAGCCGACCAATCAGAGCACAGTGTGCTTTCAGAAGGAGGGGCTTCGTAGAGACAGGAAGTAAACAGAGCGTTACTGACAGACTGGGAAGAGAGGAGCCGCAACAATGGAGAATATGAGGAGAATAATCAACATTCAAGCAGGAAAACCTGTTCTAGTAGAGAAACAACAAAGGCATAATAGGTTTTCTTTAATAAGAGCTGTTCACTAAGGGTTGTTTTGGGAGCACAAATAGTTCTTGTGTGAATGATACTCCATTAATAAGCTGTTCTGTGTGTCCGCCAGCTCCCGAAGCTCCTCACATCTCCTCGGTGGAATACTCTCACGGGACGCTGTACGTGCGCTGGAACTACGGGGATCTGTTCACCGACCTGTCGCACTCGCGCATGTTACACTGGCAGGTGAAGGCGGAGGGGCGGAAGGGCTCACGGAGACGCTACTCCATCGACGTGAGTCTCATTAAAGCGGACATATCATGAAACCTGAGTTCCTCCGTGTGTAACTGCTGTAATCCGGTGCTTCTACCGACACAGAACACATGTAAAGTGAAACCCTGGTGAGTCTTTCTCTAAAATAAGCCGATCAGATTTCAATCCTCACGTATGAAGAGGATCTTATTATAATATTCCCGGCCCTTAATCTGCACGTTTACACACACCTGCGACATTGGGTTCGGCGAGCGCCAACAGAGACCAGTTCTAACGCACTGGAGAAGATCCAGCAAAGCCTGAAACTGTTCTGTGGTCGAGCACAGACGACACTGAACACTATTGACCAGAACATGTCAGCGCTGTCTTATAAACACCTCAGGAACTGTGGACACTTGTGGAAGAGTTCAACATGATGAGGAGATGATCAGTGTAACTCCACAACAACTACAGAAATGTCTCCGCTAACATTCAGAAACGTGTAAAAGTGAAGCTCTCCCTGAGTCTCTCCGTAAGGCTGCACTCGCTGCTGTTACTCCTGACTCTGGATCAGTGAGATCGGCCTGTGTTGTTATTGCCGGAGTCTCTGAAGCTCCGCCCTCTTCTGAACGGAGGCGGAGCTAAAGCTCATTTGCATTTAAAGCGACACACACAAAAACGGCGCGTTTTTGCTCACACCCAAAAAGGGGCGAATTTGACGAGCTATAATAAATGATCTGGTATTTTGAGCTGAGATTTCACACACATTCTGGAGACACCATAGATTTATATCACATCTGGTGAAAAGGGGCGTAATGTGGCACCTTTAAACATATAACATAAGCTTCTGGAGGCACACGGGTGTCAATCATCAACAGTAAACACACACACACACACACAGTTCGTTCAGGGCTGTGTCTTCCAGGAGAAAACTACAAACTGACTACAAAAAGTTGCTAGAAACAGGTAACTATCTCTACAACAGGTGATGCTAGTCCCTAACGCTAATTCTATGCTGTTTTCTATGCAGATTTGAGTTCATGACACGGTCTCTGGCCATTAAATGCTCATGATGATGTACTGTAGTCGTTTACCGCGGTAAAACACTTCTTCTGGGTGTTTTATCAGCTCTGGCTCATGAGATTCCCCCTCGAGCGACGTCACGGTGTCGTTAGCCGGTAATGAATCCAATTACCAAACACACATATTTATCTAACGCACAGCCAACATTTAATTAGCGATGTCTAAATGTTTCCACACTGAGATCTTCAGACGCCCACCAGCGACACTCCGAGAGAGAAGATTCGTCTGTTCATTTACACCAGCCTTTCTATTGAATTCTGTTTATTTTAGTGCAACGATTAATCAAATCCAAAATAAAAGTTTGTGTTTACGTAATATGTGTGTGTACTGTGTATAATTATTTTGTGTATATATATATACAGGTGAAACTCGAAAAATTTGAATATGGTGCAAAAGTTCATTTATTTCAGTAATTCAACTTAAAAGGAGAAACTAATATATTATATAGACTCATTACATGCAAAGTGAGATATTTCAAGCCTTTATTGGTTTTCATAAGCTGTAAGCCATAATCATCAACATTATAACAAATTAAGGCTTGAAATATCTCACTTTGCATGTAATGAGTCTATATAATGTATTAGTTTCACATTTTAAGTTGAATTACTGAAATAAATGAACTTTTAAATGAGCACGATATTCTAATTTTTCGAGTTTCACCTGTAAATACACACACATGCATGTATATATTTATAGAAATATTTATAATTAAAATTATTTATACTAATAATGTATTTATTAATATGTATATACTGTTTATATATTTATATACAATTTATATGATATATAAATATTTTATATACAAATAACACATTTTTCTTAAATATATACATGCATGTGTGTGTATTTTTATATATATATATACCGGTATACAAAATAATTACACACACTACACGCACACATGTATTATGAACACACAAACTTTTATTTTGTATGGGATTAATCGTGATTATATTCCATGTACTCTCATCTACTTAAAGTTTAAAGAGATTGAATCGGTCAGCTGAGCGTTTGAAACGAACCAGTGAACATTGAATCGGTTCGTTTGAATCTTCTCACGCTCACGGAGTAGCGAACACTTGATTTGGCTGATTGTTTGTGTGTAAAAGTGATTGGTGTGTGTTTATAGGTGATTCGCAACATGATGAAGGCGTCTCTGGCTCTCCCTCCTGGCGATATCTATAATCTGACGGTCACCGCCTGTACCGAGAGAAGCTGCAACACGTCTGCGCCTCACATCATGAAGCTCGGTCAGTGACCCTGACACCACACTGCAAACAAATCCGCTTCATGTTTTCCAGCACAAATATCTATTATACTATTTTTAAAGGTTTCTAATGTTGTGTTTGGAGTCTCCTACAACTGGACAAATGTAAAAAAACACTAATTATCTCCTAATATTCACTGCGGCTTCAGCTCTTTTCTCTCAGTGTCTGAAACGGTTCGTTCGGAGATTCAGTCTCTCTAAGCTCCGCCTCTCTGACTGAAGATATTAAGTCTTGTTTACTTAATAAGAGTTTTTGCTTTAAATAGGTTCTTTTTCTGACCCCATTGGAAGATATTTGTTCTTGTTTTAAGCATAAAATTGCATAATTAATTTTTTTCATTAAACAAGACTTAATATCTGAAGTCATTTTGCTTCTCCAGTAAATGTCTCTTGATTTAAGAATGTGTCCAAGGTCAAAAAACACTTTAATTCTCTAACAACATCACCCTTATTTCCTCTCAGTGTCTGAAACGCTTCGTTCGGAGATTCAGCCTCTCTAAGCTCCGCCTCTCTGAGAGCTGCTCTGCTGTGATTGGTCAGAAAGCAAACGCTCATTATCATATCTGACTCTCAGCTCTTGATCACAGTGATACGAACAGTAACGATGGCGTGGGTTTCACCGAATCAATCTCAGAAAACAGCGTCTCCTCGACACGAACAACACGAGCCGAACTCTTCCAGTCTCAGATACACTACAGTGTTTGAGGGCGGAGCTAAGAGACGCTGCTCAGCCAATCAGGACCAGCGGTGGGGATTATGCTAATTAGTTATAAACCTACGCAGGTTCAACAGGAAGTGAGACTGGAATTACTGTCGACTCGTTTTTGTTCAGAATCACTTCTTTATTTTAGGAGACGATGACTATTTTTTGCACTTATCTTTGAAACTTTGCAGAGCTTTTATCTTCACAATTACACTCTGCATGAAAGGGAATATATGAAAAAATCATAATAGGGCAGTTTAAGTTTATTTTTTCCCGACTCCACTGATATTTGTTGTTGTTTTAAGCTCAAACTCTCTTCATTTTGATGTATTCATTTTTTTACATCTTAATATCTTCAGTCATTTTGCTTCTCCAGTAATGCATCTTGATTTAATATTTGATCAAACATACTGAAGTCGAAACTAAAGTAGTTTGCACTGCTGAGAGTGTGTTTTCTGATTCTAATAATAACTTATTTGACTGTGACTTCCTGTGCAAAACAGGCCAGAATTGATGTGGCTGTTTGTTTCATCTTCCCTTTTTACCTCGTTTTTTTAAACTGTGTCCTTAGAGGAACTTGTAAGTTAGACATTGGGCTCTTTTACGAACAGAACCGGCTCCTCCGAGGTCTCTGTACGCGGTGAACGCCAGCGACACGGCGATCACGCTGATCTGGGCCGAGGACGGCGTCGTGGACTTCTACCAGATCGCATGCAGGCCGGTGGGAACGCACAGCAGAGAACGCACAGTAAGACCTTCAGATCTCATACACACTTTAAACTAGGGGTGTAACGAGACCCTCACGATCCGACACACATCACCACACCATATTACTGCGATACTCCAAGACACATGATAAAAGGTGAACAAAAAACTCCTGTTGATTAAAATGCTAAATTTGATATTACATTGTGGGTGTAAATGAATAGACTTGGACTTGGTGCTGGAAACCCAATGAACAATAGAGACACCAGAATAACAATATTCATGATCCTGAAGCTGAAAATATAATTATTTTAGACGAATGCTTGCACTCTTTCACTGCGTAAATTTATTTAAAATAATGTGTAGGCCACTTTTACTGGTAACAAGACATGTGGCATTATCAGGACACACAAATATGCATTAGTATACATTATATTCAACATTATATATAGTAGTTTAATGTAGTACTGACACTAAAACTCTGAAAAAGTCATTTTAATCTTGGGTGAACTACACTATACACTATACATATTGATGCTTTTATATATTGCGATATATTGTGACATTATATATTGTTACACCCCTACTTTATGCAGCATAATTCATCCATTCAGTAACACTTTAGCATAAGGTTTCATTTTATTCATTCTTATATAGCACAGTTTAATGCAACACGGGTTGCCCAAAGTGCTTCACAATAAAGAAGAACAGTTAATACATAAAGCTAAAAATACATAGAACCGCATAAAACAGATGCACTTGAAACCCCTTCACGAGTTTTAGCCTAAATTTGAAAGCAATTATAGATTATAGACATGTTAACTTATGATGATGATTAATAAATGCATTTTTTATTTATTTTTAACTAATGTTAACCAATGGAAGCTCAGTATAGAGGTTATGCACTGACAGGAACACACTGAGTGGCAGAAGAGCGTCTGAATGACTGGATTTAATAGGAGAAACTGAGAAAACGGCAGTAAAACAAACGATTATCAGTTTAAACTAAAGCTTGGACTCGATATAGTGTTCTTTACAACTCACCAGAGATCCAGTGATCATGGATATTGACATGCAGCCAGAAATCATGTTTCCTGGCATTTATATGAGCCTGATTTCAAACGCCGCCAAATTTGCCTGTGAACGCTTTATATAAACACAATCCGATACTTATATAAAACATTAAAAAAGAATAAAGAAGAGCGGAAAAAAAACAGATCGAGTATATTCATTATTTTTTTATTTAATTCACCTTATTTTAACATTCAACAACTGTTAACTAACAGAGCACTTCTGTGAGGTAGCTTGAACAATAAAAAAGTAATAAATAACATAAATTCTTCACTTTTGGACTTTAGTGCAACAGTAAATATATAAAAAGTCTAATATAAAAACAAATAGCACCTCAACTTATAATACCCGGCAGGGATGTAAACAAAAAATAAAAAGTCTTTAAAAAAAAAAAGAGAATATATATATATACATTAGGTTAGGGGTGTAACAGTTCACAAAATTCGCAGTTCGATACGATACAGCAAAAAGAAAGAAATGCCAGAGAAATTTCCTATATTAAAAGAAACAATATTTTTAAATAAGTCTTGAAACTTTCAGGTTTATAAATGGGGGTAATCTTTGAAGGATGAACAAATAATGTTTTGGTAATCACATTAAAAAATAACATTTAAATATATATTTATATAATATTTTAATTTTGAAGTGCAACATTAAATCCAGGTTCATTCACGGCACAATGTTTCTCCTGGTTCCCACGTCAGCGTTGTTTGATCTAATAGAGATCTACGGTTAATAACGGAGAAATTTGAATGCTTCTCACTAGATCTCGCAGCAATGTTATTACTTCAGTGGCGAATTCAAATGTTTTCTTCACTGGATCTCTTCGTTTGATCTCACGCTGCACAGATGTTGCTGGTTCGAATTGATAAATGGTCCGTTAAGCACACTATAATGACTAATGAGTAGCGCAGTTTCGTTCCGCTTTCATTACGCTTGCCATTTGATGCAACGTTGTGGTGATCGCGCCAGCGCGGATTTTGTCGGCAGAAAAATGGTCCTAGGAATCGTTCGGTTTGTATCATGCGTACCGAACCGGAAGCCTTGTACCGAAACGGTTCAATAATTATGAATACATGTACCGTTACACCCCTAATTTACATATATCCGAGTCCTGATCGGGAGGTAACGTCCGATTCCGATCGAGTCTGAAACCACGTGATCGGGCCCGATTTCCGATCGCGTTATCGGATCGGGACATCCCTAGTTTCTGCCACTCAGTGTTTCAGTGTTTCTGCCACGTAGTGTTTCTACCACTCAGTGTTTCTGCCGCTCAGTGTCTCTGCCACTCAGTGTTTCTGCCGCTCAGTGTTTCTGCCGCTCAGTGTTTCTGCCGCTCAGTGTTTCTGCCGCTCAGTGTTTCTGCCCCTCAGTGTTTCTGCCGCTCAGTGTTTCTGCCCCTCAGTGTTTCTGCCGCTCAGTGTTTCTGCCACTCAGTGTTTCTGCCGCTCAGTGTTTCTGCCGCTCAGTGTTTCTGCCGCTCAGTGTTTCTGCCGCTCAGTGTTTCTGCCGCTCAGTGTTTCTGCCCCTCAGTGTTTCTGCCCCTCAGTGTTTCTGCCCCTCAGTGTTTCTGCCGCTCAGTGTTTCTGCCCCTCAGTGTTTCTGCCGCTCAGTGTTTCTGCCGCTCAGTGTTTCTGCCGCTCAGTGTTTCTGTCTCTCAGTGTTTCTGCCCCTCAGTGTTTCTGCCGCTCAGTGTTTCTGCCGCTCAGTGTTTCTGCCGCTCAGTGTTTCTGTCTCTCAGTGTTTCTGCCCCTCAGTGTTTCTGCCGCTCAGTGTTTCTGCCGCTCAGTGTTTCTGCCGCTCAGTGTTTCTGCCACTCAGTGTTTCTGCCGCTCAGTGTTTCTGTCTCTCAGTGTTTCTGCCCCTCAGTGTTTCTGCCGCTCAGTGTTTCTGCCGCTCAGTGTTTCTGCCCCTCAGTGTTTCTGCCGCTCAGTGTTTCTGCCGCTCAGTGTTTCTGCCGCTCAGTGTTTCTGCCCCTCAGTGTTTCTGCCGCTCAGTGTTTCTGCCCCTCAGTGTTTCTGCCCCTCAGTGTTTCTGCCGCTCAGTGTTTCTGCCTCTCAGTGTTTCTGCCGCTCAGTGTTTCTGCCGCTCAGTGTTTCTGCCGCTCAGTGTTTCTGCCCCTCAGTGTTTCTGCCGCTCAGTGTTTCTGCCGCTCCGTGTTTCTGCCGCTCAGTGTTTCTGCCGCTCAGTGTTTCTGCCGCTCCGTGTTTCTGCCGCTCAGTGTTTCTGCCGCTCAGTGTTTCTGCCGCTCCGTGTTTCTGCCGCTCAGTGTTTCTGCCGCTCAGTGTTTCTGCCCCTCAGTGTTTCTGCCGCTCAGTGTTTCTGCCCCTCAGTGTTTCTGCCCCTCAGTGTTTCTGCCGCTCAGTGTTTCTGCCGCTCAGTGTTTCTGCCGCTCCGTGTTTCTGCCGCTCAGTGTTTCTGCCGCTCAGTGTTTCTGCCGCTCAGTGTTTCTGCCGCTCAGTGTTTCTGCCCCTCAGTGTTTCTGCCCCTCAGTGTTTCTGCCGCTCAGTGTTTCTGCCGCTCAGTGTTTCTGCCGCTCAGTGTTTCTGCCGCTCAGTGTTTCTGCCGCTCAGTGTTTCTGCCTCTCAGTGTTTCTGCCGCTCAGTGTTTCTGCCTCTCAGTGTTTCTGCCACTCAGTGTTTCTGCCGCTCAGTGTTTCTGCCTCTGTGTTTCTGCCTCTCAGTGTTTCTGCCGCTCAGTGTTTCTGCCCCTCAGTGTTTCTGCCTCTGTGTTTCTGCCGCTCAGTGTTTCTGCCGCTCAGTGTTTCTGCCGCTCAGTGTTTCTGCCGCTCAGTGTTTCTGCCTCTCAGTGTTTCTGCCGCTCAGTGTTTCTGCCACTCAGTGTTTCTGCCGCTCAGTGTTTCTGCCCCTCAGTGTTTCTGCCCCTCAGTGTTTCTGCCGCTCAGTGTTTCTGCCGCTCAGTGTTTCTGCCGCTCAGTGTTTCTGCCGCTCAGTGTTTCTGCCGCTCAGTGTTTCTGCCTCTCAGTGTTTCTGCCGCTCAGTGTTTCTGCCCCTCAGTGTTTCTGCCTCTCAGTGTTTCTGCCGCTCAGTGTTTCTGCCACTCAGTGTTTCTGCCGCTCAGTGTTTCTGCCCCTCAGTGTTTCTGCCCCTCAGTGTTTCTGCCGCTCAGTGTTTCTGCCTCTCAGTGTTTCTGCCGCTCAGTGTTTCTGCCACTCAGTGTTTCTGCCGCTCAGTGTTTCTGCCCCTCAGTGTTTCTGCCCCTCAGTGTTTCTGCCGCTCAGTGTTTCTGCCGCTCAGTGTTTCTGCCGCTCAGTGTTTCTGCCGCTCAGTGTTTCTGCCGGTCAGTGTTTCTGCCGGTCAGTGTTTCTGCCTCTCAGTGTTTCTGCCGCTCAGTGTTTCTGCCTCTCAGTGTTTCTGCCGCTCAGTGTTTCTGCCGCTCAGTGTTTCTGCCGCTCAGTGTTTCTGCCCCTCAGTGTTTCTGCCCCTCAGTGTTTCTGCCGCTCAGTGTTTCTGCCGCTCAGTGTTTCTGCCGCTCAGTGTTTCTGCCGCTCAGTGTTTCTGCCGGTCAGTGTTTCTGCCTCTCAGTGTTTCTGCCACTCAGTGTTTCTGCCCCTCAGTGTTTCTGCCCCTCAGTGTTTCTGCCCCTCAGTGTTTCTGCCGGTCAGTGTTTCTGCCGGTCAGTGTTTCTGCCTCTCAGTGTTTCTGCCGCTCAGTGTTTCTGCCACTCAGTGTTTCTGCCCCTCAGTGTTTCTGCCGGTCAGTGTTTCTGCCGGTCAGTGTTTCTGCCGCTCAGTGTTTCTGCCGCTCAGTGTTTCTGCCCCTCAGTGTTTCTGCCCCTCAGTGTTTCTGCCGCTCAGTGTTTCTGCCGCTCAGTGTTTCTGCCACTCAGTGTTTCTGCCGCTCAGTGTTTCTGCCGCTCAGTGTTTCTGCCGCTCAGTGTTTCTGCCCCTCAGTGTTTCTGCCCCTCAGTGTTTCTGCCCCTCAGTGTTTCTGCCGCTCAGTGTTTCTGCCC